ACTCTTTCCTGCCTATGCAGGGAGTCGGACTCGATGATCTATTGAGGTCCTTTCCGACCCTAGCATCTATGAATCTATGAAATAGAAGGACCCAAAACGTTAAACAATGACTAGGAATTTATTAATTAAATACTGACTTTAAAAGAAAGTTAACAACCAATAGCATAACTTAAAGTTTTAATACTTGAACCGAAGTCAGAGTTCAAGGAATAAGCCAAGACCTCCTTTGCTTGACACCTTGAAAACTAGGCCCTGACCCTGCAACTGAGCTTGTGGGAAAGCCATTACACCTAAACAGTCCTATCGACAGCAGTCAAATTTGTGCAGCCACAAAAGTCTGCTACACTTTCAGTCCTCTTGTGAAATTGGGGTCTTAGGCTGGACACTGTTAAGATACTGTAACAAGATAACCCTGGCATGGGAGGAGGATGGAAAAGATGTCCAAAGAGACCTTTTTCATCTATAGCTTTTGTGGTGTGAACAATATGTTAAATTGTTTGTATAGCTACAACCATTAAACCTGAAACTCAGCAATAAGTAGCACCAACCTAAGGAGAGAATCCAAAACCAGTTTGAAAAGCTATATAACTAATCTGAAATTCCACGGCATTGATTATTTTTTGTGTTTTTATCAATACATTGTTACCTATGGCAGATTCATTATTATACCAATTAGTATGTTGTTATTTCATTAACTGAAAAAACAGTAATAAATTAAAATGCTATTAAAAAAACGCAAGAAGGAAAATCCAGCTAAAGAACCAAGGTTAAAATGTAAGAAAAAGGGGATATTGCAGTTATTGTCTTCCAGATATTATAAAGCGCATCAAGGGATTAGATAAAAGTTCTTGGTAAAATTTTCCATCTGTTTCTGCAGAACAAGATTCCCTTCTGACACCATTCAAAATGCACCTAAATATTTCTGGTCCAGTGCCATAGTTCTGCTTCACTAATTTAAAATATTTCAACTTTACAAACACTTTATCCTGAAACAAAGTTCTATTGCAATGTTATATTAGGAGAAAAGCCATGTGAGTAGCGAGGAATGCTATTTATAACTTATACAGTATCTCTGACAAAAAGCAAAGTGCTATACAATAAAGTACGTTCAAGGATCATTTCATCCACCACCAAATGCAGCCATTTATGCCTGATGGATGCTTATAAAGCAAAGTAACCATTGATCAGAATCTAGCTTTCCAGAAATGGTAATTTTATCAGTTTGGCAGACATAACTGTAGTGTGCTTCATCAAGTGTGGAACAGTTTTATCTGTAAGGAGTGAAATGACCTCCCTCCCCATTTAAATTAACAGAAACTCAAGACCCTAAAGGATAAATCCCATTTAATTTTATGTGCAAAAATGGTGTACATGTAGCTGCATAACTGCAGTTTTTGGCACTTACGTGCAGTTTGAGAATCAGTATTGCCTGTATTGTGTTGCTGTGTGTGCTCATTAAGGCTGTGCTCTGGCCAGGCAGCTGTACAAGGAAACAAAATCACCCAGGTACATGTGTAAGGTAAAGCAAGTCCCTGAAGTTATAGTCAGGCAATAAAGGTATGGGTGAAGAAATAATCACACCAGTTTAAAAAGCAAAGATGAGGGACTTGCCATGCATTAAACTGATGCATTGTAACTGTTTCCTAGTCCTGTCTGCTTTATTTTACAGTAAGTGAAAGCTAAACAATGATAATGAATCCCCCAACTAAACGGTGATAATTTATGGTTGAAGTCCACAGCCACTACTGTGTGCGATAAAGCAGACCAACAACATAGCCACAGTGGATCAGCTGGTGCATATTTGGGAAGGATAAGTCCCCCTATATTTCTTTTTAGTCTGATTTAATTGCTTTTTCTGCCCATATCCTAGTGTCCTCTTAAAAGTTCATTATAGCTGGCCTCCACTGGGTCAGCCCATTCAAAGCCAGCACAGAGCATGCTTAATGCTAGTTATGGATGTAAAAGGTTCCTGAATGCCTGCTTCTGTCTAAGCCCTTTTTCCCAAGTGGAATTTTCATGGAGTTAAGGTGGTATAGAGCCTTGCGTGGGCCGTATATAATAGGGTGGAGTTTATTCCACAGGACCATAATGAGCCGGTAAGTTGTAAGCACATCAGTTTACAGTTGGCTAATTTTTAAATATTGTTTATTGGTAAATTAACAAACCAGCCATCTATCAGTTTCATCAGTGGAAAATAGTTTACTTTGCTTACTGAAAGTAATATACTCTCATATATTAAAAATAATATATTCTCATTCTGAGACTATATTTCAAACAGCATTAAACTGGTTCTTCAGTCAGGTGCCTCCAATAGAGGCTTGTGGAAGACCACTTACAGAAAAAGTCCCTACATGTTTTTTTGTGACAAGTACTGCCTTTCATTATGTGTGTACAGCATCTAACACAATGGAGTGATGATCCTTGACTGGAGGGTCTTGACACTAGCCCAAGTTTTATATGCAGAAGAATGTTAGTAATTCATCTTTTCACTAATCTGTATGGCTCATAACATTCATCCTATAATATAATTCATCCTTCCAACTTGATAAAAAAAATTGTGAAAACCATACTGCTATCCAGTACTTCTACAACACTACAGATTTTCTATGTTGTTGACTTAGTTTAAAGTGTAAATGTATTTGTCAGATAAATGTATAGAGCAGTACATTTTGTAATACAGTAGTACTGGGTTTTTTTCCTTACATTGTGTTTTATTAGTTTGGGAGAAACTCTGTCCAGGTGTAATCTCACACTTTTTTTTCTTGGAAAAAAAAAGAGAATTGATGTATTCCTCTTTATAAAATGTATCCTCTTTGCTTTCTCTGGTGTTTACCAGGCAGGATACCTACACAGCATGGGACTAAAGCAATAACAAGCACAAATGATGAAGACAAAAATTTTCCTTCCAGTAATTATTCCAGAGGTCAAAAGGAAGCTCAGCCCAAAGATGAGCTTCTCCTTGATCAAATTTCCCATGGACGAACAGAAACCCATCCCAAAGATGCACAGTTTCAGATCCTAGGTACTCAACTCCTGCTTAATCGAGATCACCATGGTCAAACCCGGTCCCACCCCAAGGATATGCACCTCCTACCTGATCAAGACCACCGTGGTGAAACCCAATCACAGTCCAAGGATACACAACAAATTGACCAAAATTTAACAAGAGATTTGGCTATTCCTGGACATGATCACCATGGGTCTGCTAGATTCCCATTTCAGAAAGACAGTGGTTCCTCTCATATGGAGATTGTAGGTCAGGAACATGATGATTCTTTACCAGACCTTGCTGCTACTACTACAAGTGCAATTGAAAAAGTCGAGATTACTCCTTCTGGTCTTTATTCAAGCAGCCGAATACCAATCCAGATTAAAGTGCACAACCTTTCTGCTGATGAAATTATTTTGAGAGACTTCAGTATTACTTCAAATTCAAGCGGATCTGCTAGCTTCGCATTAAATAAATATTATAGACCCTCTTCCATGCAACTTCTTGGCTCACAAAAGGTTGATCCTACTTGTTCGGTTTTACCAGAGTTTTCCTTGGAGAGCTTGTCATCTCATGATTCACATGCAAAAACATCATTCATGAAACCAGTTGTTTCTCACTATAACTGCGAAAAACTCGCTAGCCGATTAATTTCTGAAGAGAGGAGGAGCAAGCAGACAGAAATTAGCACAATGTTGCTGTCCAGTAACACTGATTTACCATTTGTTTTATCAAGAAAGCCTCAGAGACAGAGTGAAATAGGTAACAAATTTTATATTGCCAAGTATTTTGGTATCTTTTGTCTGTACATATTTTACTGAAAGCATTTCCTAAGCAGATCTTCTACGGGGAAAAAATTATACCGTGTGTGTGCACACACACACACACACACGCATGCATGCACATGTATGCTAGAATTTTTCATTATTACTGTAAAAGGTGCATAATTATATCTAATAATAATTAAATTAACTTTGCTTGCTGTTAACTTTTTTAACAAATAACCTGCTCTCAGTCTACTTTTAACTAAGTAACTTCAGGAATATTATTTAATAGTATGTGCTACAGTTACTTCAGTGAGATCTTACAGGAAGCTCTCTCACCTTCCTTCACTGTAAGCTTGCTGAGAGGAAACAGGGAAAAGGGAACATTTGGGAACCAAGAAGCAGCAGAGGAGTTTGCTAAGGAGGTTTGCCTTGAAAGAGGGGCAGAAAGAGAGAGGTGGCAGATTAAGAGACCCAGAGAAATGGCTGGAAGAAGTTGCAATGCCAGGTCCACTGCCACTTTCCTTCTGCTTGCACCTGTGAGGTGTCTGTCCAGGCAGGACCATTCACTGTCAAGACTTCCACCCAGGTTGTGGTTTGGCACTGTGGAGATTATAGCTTGCAGGTTTCTTCCCATGACAGCCAGGTAAAGGAGTGCCTGCAGTGTGAGCAGTGCCTCCTGTTGGTGTCCTTCAGGGAGCAGGCAGGAGAGCTACAAGAGGAGGTGGCAAGGCTCTGAAGCATCCTCTGCCACAAGGACTTCATGGCTTTGATGCTGAAGGAGACCCCTAGGACTGTGAAAGAAGGACTACCAGGGGTGGTACTAGAGAAGGAAGAAGACATGGACTCCCAAGAAGGTGGAGGCTGGAAGCTTGTGATCTCTGCAAGCAAGCAGAAGTCTTCATCTCCACCTGAAGCAATTTGCCTAGAGAATAGATATGGAACCCGCAACAGAGGAGGAGGAGCATGTCCTGTTAGTGGAAGAGGCCAGGCCAGGCATCCCCAAGTTGGGAGGACTGAGACCACAGCTACCAAGAGGAAGTGATGGTTGATGGTGATTGGAGATTCCCTTCTGTGGGGGATGGAGGCATCCATCTACCAGCCTGACCGGTTGTCTCAAGATGTCTGCTGTTTGCCCAGAACCTGGATCCAAGATATCACAGAAAGATTATGGAGACTTATCCAGCCCTCCTACTGCTGCCCCATGCTGCTCATCCATGTGGGCACCAGTGATACTACCAGAGGTGATCCCGAGCAGTTCAAAAGTGACTACATGGCTCTGGGTGCAGGGGTGAAGGGGACAGGGGCTCAGGTGATTCTCTCTTTGATCCTTCTGGTCAAAGGGAAGGGCCCAAGCAGGGGCAGAGACATCTTGCAGATCTATGCATGGCTGCACAGATGATGTCACAGTTTTGGCTTCTTTGACAGTGAGATGCTGTTCTGTGAAGAAGGACTGCTAGGAAGAGATGGGATCCACCTGATGAAGAGAGCATCTTCACAGACAGGATTGCTCACCTGGTGGGGGATGGAGACAAAAGCCCAGAGGTAAGTGGGGAAGTGGATTACCTGAAGGAAGCACAAGCAGGGGAGGGCAACAGGGGACCTAAGAAAGTAGAGTGATCAGCTGGTTACCTCAGGTGTCTGTACATGAATGCACAGAGCCTGGGAAACAAGCAGGAAGAATTGGAAGTCCTCGCACAGTCACAGACCTACAAGGTGACTGGAATAACAGACTTGGTGGGATAGCTCACATGACAGGAGCGCTGTCAAAGATAGATATAAACTGTTCAGGAGGGATAAACGGGATTAAAGGAGGAAGAGTTGTGCCTTGTGTAAAAGAGCTGTATGATTGTTCACAGGTCCAGTATGAAACTGGAGACAGGCCTATTGAGAGTCTCTGGGTTCAGGTTAGAGGAGAGAGCAACAATGGTGAGGTCACTGTGTGTGTCTGCTATAGACCACCAGACCAGGAGGATGAGGTGGATGAGGCTTTCTTCAAACAGCTAGCAGAAGTTTTCCGACCAAAGGTGCTGGTTCTTATGGGAGGACTTCAATCACCCTGACATCTGCTGGGAGGGCAATACAGCAGTGCACAGGCAATCCAGAAAGTTTTTGGAAAGTGTGGGAAACAACTTCCTGGTGCAAGTGTTGGAGCGGCCAACTAGGGGCCATGCTCTTCTTGACCTGCTGCTCACAAACAGGCAAGAATTGGTGGGGAATGTAGAAGTGGGTGGCAACTTGGGCAGCAGTGACCACAAAATGATTGATGTCAGGATCTTGAGGAAAGGAAGGAAGGAGAGAAGCAGAGTAAGGCCCCTGGTCATGAGAAAAGCAGACTTCGACTCAGGGAACTGATGGGTAGGATCCCCTGGGAGTCCAGTGTGAGGGGGAGAGGAGTCCAGGAGAGCTGGTTGTATTTTAAACCTTATGGAGGAACAAATCATCCTGATGCCCATAAAGACTGGCAAGTATGGCAGAAGACCAGCTTGGGTGAACTAAAACACAAAAAGGAAGCTTACAAAAAGTGGAAACTTGGACAGATGACTAAGGAGGAGTATAAGAGTATGGCACAAGCATGTCAGAGGATGAAATCAGGAAGGCCAAAGCACAGTTGGAGTTGCAGTTAGCAAGAGACATGAAGGGTAACAAGGGTTTCTACAAGTATGTCAGCAACAAGAGGAAGATCACGGAAAGTGTGGAGCCTTTACTGAATGCAGGAGGCAACGCAGTGGCAGATGATGTGGAAAAGGCTGAAGTACTCAATGCTTTTTTCATCTCAGTCTTCATAGGCAAGGTCAGCTACCAGACTACTGCACCTGGCAGCACAGTTTGGAGAGGAGGTGAGTAACCAACGCTGGTGAAAGAACAGGTTAGGGACTATTTGGAAAAGATGGACATGTACAAGTCCATAGGGCTGGATGCGGTGCACCTGAGTGTGCTGTGGGAGTTGACTGATGTCATTGCAGAGCTACTGGCCATTATCTTTGAAAGCCCGTGGTGATTGGGAGAGATCCAAGATGATTGGAAGAGGATGAATATAGTGCCCATCTTTAAGAAAGGGAAGAAGGAGGATCTGGGGAACTACAGAGTTCCTCACTGCAGTCCACGGAAAAATCATGGAGCAGGTCCTCAAGGAATCCATTTCTAATCACCTGGAGGAGAAGAAGGTGATTAGGAACAGTCAGCATGGATTCACGAAGGGCAAGTCATGCCTGACACTGATTGCCTTCTATGACGAGATGACTGGCTCAGTGGATGTGGGGAGAGCAGTGGACGTGGTATACCTTGACTTTAGCAAGACTGTTAATACAGTCTCCCACTACATTCTTGGAAGCAAGCTAAGGAAGTCCAGATGAATGGACTGTAAGGTGGATAAAAAACTGGCTGGATCGTCAGGTTCAAATGGTAGTAATCAATGTCTCAGTATCTAGTTGGCAGACACTAACAAGTTGAGTGCCCCAGGGGGGTGGTTCTGGGACCTGTTTTGTTCAATAAATTCCTCAACAGGGATCCTGATTTTCTCTGATTAAAAACAAACAAACAAACCAATTTTTAGATCTAAAAAAGTAACCCAAAATCCACATTTTTCCGTGATTAAAATGAAATGACACTAATAGATAGATATATAGTGGTGTTTCATTTTAATCATGGAAAAATGTGGATTTTGGATTACTTTTTTAATCCAAAAATCAGGGTTTTGGGGGGTTTTTTGGGTTTTTTTTTTAATCAGAGAAAACCAGGATTCCTCTTCATCAGTGACCTGGAAGGTGGGATGAAGTGCACCCTCCATCCTGCATGTTTGCAGATGACACCAAGCTGGGGGGAGTAGATATGCTGGAGAGGAGGGCTATAAAACTGAGATAAATTGGAGGATTGGACCAAAAGAAATCTCATGAGGTTCAATAAAGAGAAGTGCAAAGTTCTACACTTAGGACGAAACAGTCCCATGCACCAGTGCAGGCTGAGGACCAACTGGCTAAGCAGCAGCTCTGCAAAAAAAGGACCTGTGGGTTATAGTGGACAGCAAACTGAATATTAACCAACAGTGTGCCCTTGTTGCCAAGAAGACTAATGGCAGACTAGGCTGCATTAGTAGTATTGCCAGCAGACTCGGAAGTGATTATTCCCTTCTATTCGGCACTGGTGAGACCACACCTGGAGTATTGTGTCCAGTTTTGGGCCTCCCACTACAGAAAGGATGTGGGCAAGTTGGAAAGAGTTGAGTGGAGGGCAACAAAAATGATTAGGGGACTGGGGCACATGACTTCTGAGGAGAGGCTGAAGGAACTGGATTTATTTAGTTTGGAGAAGAGAAGACTGAGAGGGGATTGAATTGCAGCCTTCAACTACCTGAAGGGTGGTTCCAAAGAGGATGGAGCTAGACTGTTCTCAGTGGTGACACATGACAGAACAAGGAGCAATGGCCTTAAGTTGCAGCACAGGAAGTTTAGGTTAGATATTAGGGAAAAACTCTCATGAGGCGGATAGTAAAACACAGGGATAGGCTTCCCAGTGAGGTTTTGGAATCTCCATCCTTGGAGGTTTTTAATACCCAGCTTCACAAAGTTTTAGATGGAGCTAGACTGTTCTCAGTGGTGACACATGACAGAACAAGGAGCAATGGCCTTAAGTTGCAGCACAGGAAGTTTAGGTTAGATATTAGGGAAAAACTCTCATGAGGCGGATAGTAAAACACAGGGATAGGCTTCCCAGTGAGGTTTTGGAATCTCCATCCTTGGAGGTTTTTAATACCCAGCTTCACAAAGTTTTAGCTGCTTTGAGCAGGGGTTGAACTAGATGACCTCCTGTGGTCCCTTCCAACCCTAACTTTTTATGATTTTAATGTTAAGGTTAAAAGCCCCATTACTTGAGACTTTGAAAACTGGACTCCGTTCCTGCTTCAAAATCCATGAAAGGTGATCCTAATGCTCATGCAAAGTCATTTTAGATTCAGGTCATAGTTGTCCTGCATCTTGTGTACGAGTTTAAAAGAGGGTA